TCAGCAAAAGTCAGTGTCCGTGTGTTGTCACCAATATCGCAAATATAATACTCTCCATTCATCAACACTGCATATAGCTAACGATATTAACGCAGGGATTACTTAATTATTACTTGGACATCGAGTGGTTGTCTCGTCGATCGCAGTGAGCGATCGGCGGAATATTTATTTTATTAGAGTAATGATTATTTATTGGATTGGTATTTGACTGCGTTTAGTTATGCAAAGTATTCACGGCGACTAATTATTTACTCGGTTTTGTTCGGTTGGCCTGCTCGCCTAGCCAGCGAGGTGGCGTAAATTGAGGCTAAAACAATGTGCACGGAAACGTGAGCATTGTGGCCAGCAACGTTATAAACGTTTGATAGCCTGGCCGATCCAGGTAATCCAGGTAATTAACGCAGGAGATCGTCCGTCCTTAAGAAATTCTAGTCTTGATTGTTGATTTGGCGAACATGGAGTTATAGGGCTAATCCTCTGTACAGCATAAAGATTTTTAGGCGGACAAGGTCGATATGAGACCGAAAATACACTCCGACTGGTGGGAGAAACATGTGTTTGGAGTAACTGTTGAAAACAATTGACAGTCTTAAATGAGTAATCCTTTTGTACTGATAGTCAGTAGATGTTTTAATTAGTATAAACGAGATCCGTAGCGATCAACATTTTAATCATTTCAAAGCCAAGCAGCAATGAATATTTGCTGTCGTGAATATTTTCAGTAATTAAGCACACCTTGATAGCAATACCAATAAATAATTTTACCGAACAACTTCTACCAATTCTTGATTCTATTCCATCATACGTTTTAAAGGTGTGCATAAACATTTACCTATTGCTTGTTTAGTTTTCTTCATGTTCCCTGATGTTCCTCGCTTTCATCGTTAACGTTTCGACTAGCCTAGCGGATGGATTGTCCTTTGATTCAGTCATTCTTTAGGCTGTATATTGAAAATTTCGAAATTTTGTTAAGAGCGCGAACGAATAATGCACTTTGCATTCGTAATTAATTTGCATGATATAATCTTCCTGGGGAAAAGGGAAGAGATTGGAAAAAAGAAAGGGAAAAGGAAGAAGGTGAAGGAAAAAAAGCGAGCGTAGAAAAATCTACCTCAGAATTTACCTGCTTTTCGGACCAGGCTATTTGCCACCACTCCTGCTTCTGGAAAAAATTCTGTCGACGCCATTGCGTATATAAACGCACTATATGTTTGGATGCAACGGTTTTTGTGTTTGTGACATTTTTGTCCACATATTGCTTAATTCAAATTCATATCGCAAACTTGCACTGATCAAAATTTTCGATTTTTGCGTTTCACACTGTCTATTTAGAGGAATTTTGTTTGTTATTAATTTAAAAGTGCGATTTGAATTAGTTGTAGGAAAACGGTTAGGTTAATTAGTAGTCGCTGAACAGGCAGAAAATTGATGAAGTACATAACTGCACTTATGGGTGCAAAATCGTTGTTTTGATTTATTTACCATTCAGAGTTGACCTATCGCGCGTATTCTTCGTCGTATCAGTCAGTCATGTTGCACGATTCTGCAGCTTTCTTGCCAACAACATGCTCCCAGATACGACAACTCAATGCATTTTGACAATTGCTGTTGTTTTCCTTCCTCAGCTCCTTTATCGTTTGTTTCTGGCAGCAAATTTCCATCGAAAGCAATACAATTCGTCAATTGTTCTAATCACATCAATGCATTTGTTAGAATCAATTCGTTTACTCTTACGTTAGTACGTAAACAGTCTAACGTACTAGTAAGGGTAAATTTATCTTTAATGAAATCGTCTTGGAATGGTGACAATAAGTAATTGAAATCGAAATATGCCTTGAGGGATTAAATGACCAGAAGTTTCACAACTTTCAATAGACTGCAGTTCATTTGTTCTTTTTGGATGGAACATTTAGAGACGTATTTTTGACGTATTACTGGTAAAGGGTTCCAAGTGGGACTTGGAATTGCCGTTCGTGTAATGCACCGAGCACGTTTCGGTTTACGTTTGCATCTTCTTTATTCTTCTTTATTATTTGCTTATTGTTTGTAGCAGGATATCATTTTCTGTTGAAATTCATAAAATATACCTTCATGTTCTGTCGTGTTCTTTTGACTTGATTTTAAACTGTTATGCCCGAAGTAATTAACCTTCAACTATAATTGTTCGCCGCTCTTTAACGTATTTATTGTTAGATGTGTAACTTGAAATTGAACTATTTTGAGTAACTTGAACTATTTTGTTTATGTGAAAATATTAATATCTCCGATTTTCCCAGCTGAATTGTTGTATAGTTCGATTAATTTTATGAAAATTTCCCCATAGATTACTGGTTACAATCGAGACCTGCTTCATCCCAAATCTGCAAAATTCAACTGTTCTTCCATCATATTTCTCTTGCTTTATTCAACCGAATTTCTCCAATCGATTGTCTATAGGCTAACATTTTATAAGTGAATCGAATGCTTTATCCTTATCCATACGTTCACTCTTCCATTTCTCTCAATATCAATTGCCTTATTCAGTATGAAGTACATTGAAAGGCATTTATTTGTCTGCTTGTTTGTTTCTTTTCTGAGTTGTATTCTTAATCTTTTAATTTAAGCAGTGGTCCTAAATTCTCCGCATTGCGTAGTCACTTAACTGACTGCTTCTTGGTGATATACATATCACCAAGAAGCAGTCAGTTATTTTATTCATGTCGTTGTGCTGTTCCTAGTAGTGCAGACAATTTCTATGGCATAATTACGACTTGTTCATATCGCATATTCACATTTCACCTCACAAGCAAGAATATCTAATAGTTCTGATTCATAGCGAATAATTGACCTTTTAAAAGTATGAAATGGCAACGAGTTTCTATCGAAGAGTGCATGGAATTGACTGCGTTGAAACAAATCGCTATGATTATGAGCAGTCTCGTTAACAGCATACTGGGATTTGATGAAACATTAGGAAACAGTTTAACGAGTTTATGTCATTATATGAATAGTTTTTCAGTGTGCTAGCATTTGTTAATGTGAAATTCTTTAGTGGTTTATCGTTTTTGAATTTACCTTTCTTATGAGACCAGTGCACTCACTTAATGGATGTTGATTTCGTTCAGCACAAATGCACCACTTATATCGTTTCCTTTATTCTTTCGCTGCAATCTAATTTGCAATTTTTGACGAAATCGTCAACGCCTCATATCTTCACAGTTCACCTTCAAAATAAGACGGCGAGAATATAAAGCTTCCACGTTTTTTTGTGAAGTGCATGATGGAATAATCAAACATCATTGCTTTGATTTTTCTTCGTTAAAACTTTTTTTAATGTTAGATTGTTGCAATGAATTTAAGGTTGAATTACATATGGAATAACAAATTCGATAATTTGATTTGTCAATATAAAGTAGAAGTCCATTTTGGTTGTTCCTAATTGCGTTATCTGAAACAACAGAAACGTTTATGCTATCCTCCCTCTTTACTCTGATTCGTTCTGAGCAAAATCAATGCAAAATTCAATCCTACATCTATATGCTGTGTTATGGCACAACCGTTAGTCGTTGTACGGATTGTCCATGTTGAAATTGCTTCATCGCTTCTTCCTCATCGTCAGCAAACTTCTATCAATATGCATTCTGTGTAGTTGATAATTATTCCTATTTTCAGTGCGGTCGTTCTCTCCGTTCACTCTTTCGTCAGTATTCTTCTTTCAACCTGATTAGTCATCTTTTCTTGAGAGTTCCCTTTTGATGTTGCGCAATTGATGCAAAATAGCGTGTTTCAATGCTGTCCGATTTTCTTTTGTTTTATCGTCTCTTTTTTGGTACTGTTCATGTTCAGTCTGCGTTCTGCGTTGAAGTGAATGATGAACAAATTAATGCTGTTGCGAATGTACGAATATATCCGAAAATTTTATTGCATTTATGATTAGCATGTTTGAGACGGTGCAACAAGGAAAGCAATCATGTGTCCTTTCACATTATTAAATTGATGATTTATCCTTCACTGCTACTTACTACCTTTTCACACTAATAAAATTTGAGATGAAGTCTTTAAAAATTTCAAAAATTTTTCCAAATGTCAATTTGTGAATTAACGGAGCATTAGACTTATGCTGCATATGAACGTGTGTAGTTTCATTAGTTATGCTCATAAAGTAACAATTGTGGTGAATATAATTCTATTAATAATTAGGTATGCGCATTCATTGCCAACAAAAGTAATTGTCTTCTCTTATTCGTCATTCATACACCACTCTGTTCATCGTTCATCCAAAATCAATACATTCGTTTTTTGGTTTCCTTGCAACATCCTCACATGAGGATCACTTCAATGATGCAACAAAGCATTCTGTCTGGTATTAGCTCATTTATTTTTGTTGTATTCATAGTGATGTCGAGCGTCATTGCTAATGTTTATTTTGTTTTGTTTAGCATATTTTTGCCTTATTTTCATGCTAAAAATATGCAAATGTGAATCTTTGTTCTCTCACAATTGGAGCATTGAAACTCATACGACCTCAAATGCCATCATTCTCGGAGATGTTTCCATAATTTCTGATAAATCATCAAGTTGATATAGAGAGTTAGCGAAGTTACGTAGTGAATGATTATTGTTTTATCCGAAAGTGGTGTCGAAATAAGCAATCACATTTTACAAATTCTCTAACTATACGATAATTAGAGAATTTATTTGACGTGAAGTGTGATTGCTTATTCCGTCGCTCATCAGTTTTGTTGTACTCTTAACCATGATAATTATTATCTTTCTGCACGAATCATTTTAATTAAAAAGGCGGCCAAAGCTTATTCTCAATGGTGTTGTTTATTCCTTATGTCTGCGATGCATTGCTTTGGGTAGGTTCGCAATTGGTGTGTTGTATTTGATATGAATGGATTTAGTGATTAAAAAGAGCTGGTATAGAATCATATTTGTAAATATATACTGATAACGATAAGTGATGAGTGATGCATATTGCAATGGCATCGGCGGTGTATTATCGGCGAGTATCCCATGCATCGACGAAACACCTCATGCACCGCTCGCAGACGCGATTGAAATTGATGAATTATCATTCGATATTATTCCCCTTAGAAATGGATTCATCCAGAAAATTAGTCCAGGTTTGTATCTGATTTTATTTACATGTGAACCTGTTTCATTGTTGATCAATTTCATTCGACTGAGGAAGTATCAGTTCGATTGTATGCTGTTTATTCATATTTTTTAGAAAAAGAAGTGAGAGCTAAACAAAAATTTTGCAACGTTTTATTGAATCGTCAAGTAGATGTTGTGAGTAAATGAAATCTGAGTAGAGTGGTGTAGACCGTCGTCACGTCTTTTTTAAAAGTTTTGCGAAGTCTATTCTTGGATTTACTTGAGTACTTAACAAAAAATTTAGACTGAATCAGTAGGTCAGTTTGAATATTCACTATCAGAAATGAATTCCATGTTTCATCTGTTTGTGATTATGAGTCAAATTTAGCAATTATCATTTCGAAATTGAATCTCACAGAAGTTCAATCGAAAGTTTCACACAGAATTAGTTCATTTGTTTTATCGGTTTACATTTGCAGTTTCTTCCGTTTCAGTTGCTCGTATTTTTAGTGTCAATGTGACCTAAACTCACACTTTCATCAACGAGAATTCTCTAATGATTTGTTCTTTCCCGAATCGCACTCCTCATCCCCTCCTGCGATCACAATGCGTTTTATTAATTCTTCTCTATTAACTTATTCATTTCCTTTCATCTATTAACTTATTCATTGTTTGTATCAGTCATCCATCGTTCAGTATTTTTATACTCGACAATCATTCATATAACAATATTGGAATGAATGCTTCAACAGCCGCTTTCGTTTAATTGAATTTTATCTCGAAACAACCAAAATTTGAGTATTCCGTTGCTGAGCACACTCTTTTATTTGATTACTCATTTTGCTGGCTTTCGCACGTTTAAAAAAATGTTTGTCAGCACTGCTCTTTGTTGGGTGCATTACATTTTAGTTTCAGGCAGAGACTGTTGATTGTCACTTGAAGTATGTAAAATCGATTCATTTGAGATTGTTTCATGTAGTGGAGTACCGAATTTGGCTGAAAATAATTATTTTGTAAAGTCCTTTTTTATTCTAACTCATCATTAGTTATGCACTTCCTTAAATTTACCAGTCTTCATTCTTCAATGAATCTGAATGTCGCTGATCGATAATCACCAACGAAATTGTTTTAGCATTGAACGCACCCGAAGAACCGAATGATAGTGGAAGTGATGAAGGAATGGAAGGAGACAATGGAACAGATGAAGAAGAAAACGAAGACTTTGATTTGAACGAAGACGGGATTTCGGATGATGATGAAGGGAACCATGATGAGGACGAATATCCAGGTCATTTGATTATTTGAACGAATGAGTAGAATTGGAGTTACGATTAATGTTTCTGTTATATAATTTTTTTCATGTGGATATAATGCGTGGAAATGCCGTTTATATTATTTCGATGTCAAATTCGATTCACAATTCATCAAAATTACTTCACAAAAAGTGTTTGTGTATCGATATTATATGGTGTTTGATAATGTTTTCCGATGTTCAGAGCTATCGCGAAATGATGGTGATGCAGCCGTCGAAGGAGATAGTTATGATTTTGCGGTTATGGACACTGAAAAAGATACTAATGAAGGTGCCAGGAAGAGAAAGGTAAAAGTCGTACTTCGATTTTTTATTAGCTTGTTGCAAAATTATAAATTCGCTCGTTTTGGGGTTGTTGCAATTGTTCTGAGAAAATATCGTTGAACAGAAGAAAGACTTTAAGATGTCATATAATATATATGACACTTAGCGATGCATTAACATTTGTTCAGTATTTCATATTCTCTAGAAGCTTTTTTGACTCACATTTACACTAATCAGTACTTCTCGAATCACTCTAATGAGTACTTACTTCTTAAATATTAATGTTTTTGATATTTCAACAATATGCAATAAACAATCATCGTTATGTTTGCAAGACATTGTATGAAGTTTGCTGTCACTTGCTGCTCACTGTTAGTGGGGAATGTCGCAGAAATCGTATATATCAGCAGTAGTTGTAAAGCTGTCGTGCTCCATTCCTCTCATTGGTCATACGACAGACCATTCCTCTCCCTTCCAACAACCTACAAGATCACCATTCATTCACCCTCTGTGCTAGCGAAAAATTAAGAAATTAATCTAGTGATCAAGAGGTTTGCAGTCAGCAATTTAATGTCTGTTATGTATTATCAAAGGAATCATTTTCTCGCATTTTGAAAAGATACTGCAGCAGTTTTGAAAGCCTAGGGAAAGTAAACCGATCAACAATAATTTGCTAGCATCCTCAATTTTATCTGACTTGTTCAAATTTCCTCACAAAGTGGAATTTCTCTCTTATGAGAATAACTGATACTTCGAGCTAGCCAATAGAGGTAGGTTCGCCGTGGAAACTGAATTGTGAATATTGCTGGTGGAGATTTTCATAAGACTAACGTGATGATTCAGTCTGTCAGCAGTCGCGTTGCTTTTAATAAACACATTTTGAAGCATCAGTCATGTAAGGATGCCATAGTGTTGGCACCGGGAGTGGAAAATCGTTTTTGCTCTCCCGTCTCATCTCCGCAACTTCTTTGCAAGAACGGACGAGGTACACGTGCCGGCCTTTGTGTGTACATATTACTAATGACCGCATCAAAATTCTACAAATGATCAAATTTTAAGGCTGAAGGTACAATGGGACGTAAAAAGAAAAGGACGAAGTGAATGAATCAGATGCACTAATTTGAAGTTAACGTTTTCTCTTTCAGATGTTCTACTTTATTTGTTTATCTAACTTTTATCAAATTTTGGATGTCTCTAATTGTTTCTTAAATGAGAATCAATAAAAGTTTTATTGTCTGATGCTTAACTTTCATTGAATTCAGAGGAAATCTTATGCATTGAATCATAAGAATGTTGGACTCTGAGTCTATTGTTGGATTCATCGAACGCTGAGAATAAATAATTTATTGCGTTATTTGTTCAGCATTATTAGTATTAATGAATGTCATAATAAAACTGCAATGAGTAGTGAAAGATGAAATAAAATAATACACAATGAATATTGAGCCCGTATTTCATCGTAACGAACAATATTATGACGTAGCAAACATTGAAAATTGTAATTCATAACATATTACTGAAACGTGTAAATGGATATGGTAATTGAATTTTGTTGTAATGTTAACTGAACTAACTTTGAGGTGGTTGTGTGTGTGTGTGTGATATCATTGGTTTTAAACATCAGAATATATGAAACAGAAAGGATGAGAAAGGGATGGGTGCAACATTTAAGTGTTTTGAATTTAACTTCACGGGAATGGAATTGATGAACGCTCATGACAAGTATTACGATGTTTGAATCGATTTCACAGGGTACGGATAGAAATTGAAACATTTCCAGCGTATATGTGCACAAACATTACAACGTTAACACTCAAGAGCATGATACGGAATGTAGAAAGAAGTTATTTGTGGATATCAACAATGCTATTCGTAGATAACTGATTTGGTTTCACATTTGTGTTTCTGGTGACGCTGATCCTATTCTGTATCCTGTTCCAATAATACCCAAAGATCGATGCACTTCAAATAGTTCATTTTTGTCCCATTGTCAGTGAATATCATTACATCCAATAATGTTATGAGATTGAATAATGAATAATCATAAATATCTAACGAAGTTTACAACTGGAATGTTTTTGTACATATACGATTAAGTATATATCGATATTTTATACTGGTTTTCATTGAGCAAGTTCATATCGTTATCTCTATTGTAGTCTTTTACATGGTCATCTTCATTGCTTGATTCATCCATTTGAATTATTGGTTGCTTGTCGAGGTTACATGATGAGGTGTTTTTCTCTTTATCGCCGTTGTTATCCTGAAATTTATTCACAACTTTCGTATCGATCTGAATGGATCGAAGCGATATACTGAACGTTGAGAATTTGAGATTATTTTCGACTGAAAAGAACGATCCCAAATTCCCTCGCATGGGCTGATATTTTAAAACGTCTTGACATATGTCAGATTGGTCGCATTTGAAATCGTTTTGTGATTGAAATTATATTGGATAGTGGTGAAAGAAGTCATTTTTTGAAGGATTAAATCGAAAGTGAAGGTTTTTACATTTCATGGAGTCATATTAAAGGGTGATTGTAGAAAAAAACTGTCTCGAACGTTGTTGATGAAATGAGGAAAGAATTTGAGAAACCAGTGTATTGGTTTTGAATGTTGGCTATAATACCTCATAAATTATTGAGGGAAAAAGTCTCTTACTTAACTGCAATATCGTATTTTATGTGCTTAAGGCATGAAATTTATGGTTTCAGTTGGTCAAAAAACATTCCGAAGTGATCGATTTATTGCAGCATAAAACAACTGCAAAAGCATTTTATCATCGCTGAAATATCGTCGTCTCATGTAATAAAAGGCATGAATTTTATATACCGCTCGACTATCGCATGCCATCCCACCATTCACCTGCTGCATACTCTTCTTACGGTCACTTCGACGACGACAATAAATCGTTAGAATCCGAAATACGAATACGATCATCTCGAATAATGTTATCACACTTGCGCCTCAAGTGTATTTCCATTAGCATCATATTAACGCTACATTAAGAGTACATCAGTTGAAATAAATACTGATGATCCTAGATAATATAGAGTGGTGAGCATAACGTGGATGTATCAATAGTTTTTTGCATTCAGCATTATCCTTTGTTCAACCAAGTACGATTCAATTTTGGTGTAGAATTCTCTTATCGTTAAATGAAAATGATGCAACGAACAATCTAGCGAATTCATGGAAACAAGCGTTAGTTAACAAAAGAGTGAGATAAATCTCTAATGATCGATGCTCTATTAGTTTTGGTTCAAATTTAGCTAATTGCTGGGGGAAAAAACTGCTTAAACAGTTAATACAATCATAGAAACGTATCTTAACATCACCTACCGAGCCACAGTCCTGCCTGACCACCGATATCCGATATTAGGTTGACAACCTCAAAGTTAATTCTTTATTAATGTTTCAATCTTCGTTTATAATTTCTTGGAATGGTATCGATTCTTATCGACAAGAGTAAATGTTACCGTTACATTCACGACTTCCTTTTCTTCTTGTGATAATTCACCACTCATTATCATTTAACGCTGTATGGTTGGGAGAGTGGGAGGTGAAACAATATTTAATTTTATCATCACATAGTTGGAAGGTTATGTAATCCGATGAAGGGACAGTGAAAGGACAGCACGGTTTGATACGATTCGATAGAGTCTCAAAATGAAGCCCTACTGAAGTGTGTAGCGCGTGGAGACCCTACACAAATCATGTGTTTACAATTTAGTCTCATCTGTTTGAGTCAAGTTTCGGCTCTGACATGTACTTTTGTCCAGGCTTAGATTGGCGCTAATTTATGTGCTTCAGTGTAAATTGGAATAGCTAACTTAATCTGCGAGGTGATTTTCAGCATATGTCGCGATTCTGCGTTACTTCACACTCAGCGAGTGCTTATTTCTAATCTTCACTTATTTTTCTACAATCTTGAATTAATTCTCTTCACTTCGTTTTTTGAATTAATCGATTCATCTTCATTGAATAGTGCTCGTCCACAATGAACTTATCTGCCATAACAGCGTTTAAGTGACTGCGCATGGTCGTTTTTAATTAAATGTAAAGTTTGCGCCTTGCCAAAAAGAACAACCAACTTACCAGATACGAAACCGATTCAGTCAACGTTTCATAACTCATTTGTTCGTAATAAATCTCGATCATTGCCGCATGGTTGCTGAAATGTATGGATAAAGACTCATTTCAGAAGTGATTCACTAACATATTACATAAATCATCTATTTAATGTTCGTTAAGCAATTTGTTAGTTGTGCTACGGTATGTCGACTATAAAAGTCAGACTTCATTTTTTTCAACTGCTCATTTCAAAGAGTGATATATTTTAGTTTGAACTGAATAATATGCGTATAGATCTGGTTGCCATGAGTAAATAAATACACGTTTTTGCTGACAAATTATTTGTAAACAATGTGTGAATGGCACTTATTCTCCTTGCTGACAACAACATATCTTGCAGATAACCAACTTCTTACAATCAGAGATATTCTTTTCCAATTCAGAGAAAGCATTTGGTAACAATCGAGTCATTTCCGAAAAGTTGCGAGTGGTTTTAAAATACTGCAGGAAAATACTGACTGATGCAAGAAGTACCGAACGAACCTGTAATAAGCGATGCATTTTTCTAAATCCGTTCCACATTCTCCCACTTGAAATGATCCCGAAGGCCATTTCGCAGCCGAGTAAGTTGTCGTGTAAACATCCTGTTGACAAGGGTGTTTGCAGCGGCACGAATGATTCCTCGTGAAACGAATCCCTTCTCTGATTAAACAGTTCCCTCAAATGATCAACACGTTCTTTCCTCTGATCTGTTCAAAATGATCACTCAAAGAGTACAATTGTTTTTCTTTCTGATCTAAACGTCTCAATGTCGCGAATAACACATTCAATTGTATCATATTAATCACTGTATGTGAAATAACGATCCAAGGAACAAGTACTCATAAAACCCAAAAATATTCTTTCAATGATTGGATATGTTGAAAGAGTGATACTGACTGAAATTGATAATCGATTATTTGAATCGATCGAATCTCCAGTCATTAGGCAATAATTACACCCTATTCTGAAATTTTTACGATCCATTCCCAGCAATTCTCAATAAAATCTTGTCAGTTTTATGAAAGTCACTGCATTCAAGTGTAGATGAATCTCAGCTATAATAATAGCGGTGAGATAACTTCGATTGGTTTAGCAAACAATTACTTGCGAGGACATCCAAACTATCGCACCGTCGAACTGATTCGTTTCTGACAGGAAATCGAGGATCTGCACAACCGCATTCCTCGTATATTTGACTTTGATAGCAGCTTTTATAACACCCCTTCAAAATGTGTGCAATGATTTACTACAATCTAGCACTAGCAAATATGATATTGCACTAGAACTGGTAATTGATAGTAATGGCATACGAGCAAATTTCAGTTCGATCAGAGTCCTACCGAATCGACTTTAACTCTTCGAAATTCGGAATTGCAATCGAAATTCGGTCGGTTACCATCACTAGTAACCGATACTTTGGAAGTTGTTTATAAAAAAGGCGTTGTATTCGATGTGGCTGAATGGATTTCTGAAGTTGACTTCCTAGCAGCTGAACATGAAAAATGATAGTCTAGTTCTGAGAGCATCTTTTCTCGCTATGATTCATGAATCAACGGTTAACAGTTTTGAACTTGAAGAATAAACGATATTACCGATTTCAAGAAGGGAATATTGGGTTTATTTGTTAAATGTTAAATGTTTGAAAGTATTCTAAAGTGTTGTTTTATTTGCTAGATGAATGAAAGTTGATAATGGATCAAATTTTATGAAAAACTCGTGAATACATGCAATTGTAGTACCTCAGGTTCATATTTATAGTTTTTATAAATATAGTTGTCAGGAAGTGGACGATTCGCTGGAACACAATCTCCATACGGATGAGAAAGCCGATTCACTTTCCTCTGAAACTCTCCACATCATTTCACCACACAATTTGCACTATATTCAATGCTCTCAACAATACCACCTAAGAATTTCCTATTTAAGGGTTTCACAAGAAATTACTGAAGTAAGCTTTGCCATTCACATTGAAGTATCGGCTTCTTTTCAGGTGAAACGTGATTTTTGGAAATGAATTCTGGTGAAAAGTAGTAAAAATAAGTGGAAGATTGAAAGAAATAACCACTGAAAGGCCGAAGGAAGATACAGAACCCGTAGGTGCACTATAACCAAACGTATCTGGGAATGGATACTCGTCCTGGCCATGAATAGCGATTCGTACGCCAGTCGCTTCAGTAGTTGGCAGATAGTCTGTCGCATTCACAAAGACCATCAACCTTAGGCCTCAAATATCGTCCCTTTTTCCATTTTCATTCTTACCATTATACCAACAGCACTTTTAACCGTGACAGGTACTGATGTAGAAATAAAACATGATCGCGGGATATCGTTAACTAATCTTTGATCATTCTCCTCTCCCCATTCCCCAAAAACAACAAACCATGATGAGATGTCAACATAAAAACAGACCAATACAAATCTCACCATAACCCGGTCCAGCGCGGCTACTGACCAAAGGATTCTTTCGATTAGCGTTAAACGTGTAGCAATTACCGAACGCAGGATCGACGTGCAATTTAAAATCACCGATAATATCGCACTGTTGTCCATTGAATGAACACATTTGAATGAATTCTGATTTACCGTACGATAAAGCGATTCTTCGATGCACCGGCAGTCCAGCCATTGTTAACACTAACCTTCAATTGATGATTCCATTTTTATATGAGTGATTCAATGCAACTGATTTCTGTTTTGCATTACCTGTACAGTTACTATTAGAGAGACAGGACAACACCTTGAACTGTGCAGGACATTGTCCGTCTAATCTGCATCTATTGTACATATGAAAGCTTTTAGGTCGTTTGAACTTGTTGAAGAGAAATCGATGCATGTACCATGTTGCACCGATAGTAAAAATAATACTGATCGTGAGTGATTCAGTGGCAAAATGCAACTGATTTGTGTTTTGCGTTTCTTGAATAAATTTGATCAGCTTGAATAATAACAGAAATATGTACATGTCATCGTTTTGCAATTCACTAATACTTTGATGCCTCCTCATGCCTTGCACCATCTCAACGGGTTTCTGTTCGTTTGCTACAGATGAATTGCAAATAAAAGTGCTTTAAATGCAAGGATGAATCAATTCTGCAAAGGAATGTACCCATAGTAGGCATACTGTCAACCTTTTGAGAAGCATTCTGTTTAATTTAGTGAAGTATCCACGAATGACTGCTGTAATCAGCTCTTCTCATACTTCAGTTTATTCTTGTTTTTGATTGACAAACGTATTTGTTCTTGTTAATCTCACCACATTGGATAACGTGTGTTTATAATGTGAAGTGCGCAATACTCATACCATAAATTTGCTAGCAATTGTTATTGTGAGTTGATTTACAACTGTATACTTGTACGATGTTTTTACACTATCAACTCAACAATCTTGCAAACATAAACAATCAATCGTCAACTATCCGAATTGACCCCGACAGTGATTTATTTATTCCCTATGCACCAATCAAATCTGTCCACCTCTTACAAATCGGATTGTTAGCTTCTTAATCGACATATGTTATTAGCCGCTAAAAGAACAATCCTTTGTAAATCAGCTGTTTAAATTATACCAGATGATCCGTTGATTTTCTTTTCTTTCTTATATCTTTATCTAAAATCATTTGCTTTGCTCATTAAGATTTATGATCCACCTGATTTCGTAACGTATCGTCTTTAAACAACCTTTGAAGAATTTTCGTCAATAAATTCCCAATTAAATAATGTGCTTCATTTGAGTACTGAAGCTAAAAGTTAAAAAATATCTTGAATAGGGAAAGACAATAATTTATAAGGAATGTGTGCACATCACTCACCTTTCTTTTGTTTTTGTTGTAATAGCCACTTCATCAGTCATATTCTCGTAACCAAGTTGTTTCAGCTGTTCGAGGAAATCAGCACGAAACGGTGACCCTATATCGGGTATCGCCTTTCCACGAAATTCCCAAATTCTTTTCAAACGATACGGTCGGAGAAGACAGTAACCACCGTACTGAAAATGAAATGTACATACGTGCCAAAAAAGGGTCATCAATTGAAATGGATGAGTCTTGTTGAACGAGCATCACGGCATGTACCCATTTTGATGAACATCACTAATCTTTCCAATGAGTGTTGATGTTTTACGTTAAGAAATATGATTCATACATATGAGAGCATCCGTCAATGCAACAGTCAAAACTTAGAGTACTTTGTAAGATTCAACTCAATAGACACTGATCACCAATAATCATTGACCATTCATTCTTTACTTGCGAATTTGTTTATATAATAAGTGAAAAGCAATTCAGTTCTGGAAAGCAAAGATTGTGAATGAACAATCGTATACAGCACTACAATTTTCACCTAACAAATAAAGTCTGTACCGATATAATTCAAATAAGGAATGTAGCAGAAACGCGGTTATGGACAAAAATTTGGGTTCTCTTTTGATTCACAATTTCACTTGCACGAAAGCATATCGTATAAATGAGAATCACTTCATGTCTTCTTCAGAATGATCCGAAGTTGTTCTGAAGGCATGTGAAAGCTGCCATAGCTATTTGATTACATGAGTTGAGGGTACGGCTGTACAACAAAACTGATAATAAATCGAACCTTTTGACAAAGACATGGCAAATGTATGGAGCCTTTTGTTTCAGGCAAATTACAATAACCGATATCATTACAATCTGGGCACGTCGATTCGAACCAAGAACTGAAGTTGATCAATATGTTTATTCAGACCTTTAGGACCTATTTCAAATGATTTTAAAGTCAGAATTCAATGAACGATCCACTAATGGCATAATTAGTAATGAATCTAGTGATGCTAGAAGAGGTTCAGTCTTATAGAAAATGGGAATATAATTTGCATCTGGATCCCGATAATTTCCATTGAGAAGGTTTCGAACATGAATACTACGAAATCAAAAAGTAAAAACAAGGGTTGATCAATAAAATCAAACAAGAATCATACGTTGAATTGAAACAAGGCCATGCCGATGAATCTTGCCGATCATAATTGCAAATACAAAGCGAATAATTACTCATTGGTACCGTATCCTTTTGCTTACATTCACGATCGATTTCCAGTGAGCAATCACAGTCCGATAAAATTGGTTCGAACTGCACATATCGAAACCCGCCTATGAAAAGAGATCTTATGAATTCCTTCGACAATTCAACATCGCGCTGATATCCATTATTCGAAAAGAAAATAGACATCAAAGGAAATAAGATACCAAAACGCATTGAACGAAATTGCAGTGAGCGCAAGTGTGTTATTGTTACACACAGGCAGCAGCAATAAATGTCTGCTAATGATTTAGTACGATAATTCAGTTGTTTTATGACGGTCATTTATTACAACTTCAAACTTCCTCAATGAAGATATCTTGAGGAACGAAATCAGAATTAATTGTTGTGTTAAGCGATTACACTGCGAACTAGAAAATGATTCTCATCTAGAAGTTTAATCTCGTAAACTTTGATAACTTCCAACTGATAAGTGAATGATGCGAATATGAAATCGATCTCAATAATTCATTTGAAATCAATATTTCATCTATCGGTTCCACCAGCAGTAACTGTGTCAGTTAAAACGCTTTTGAAGGGAAAATCATGACGAAGATCGTTTCAGTGAATGTCTCTCAAATGGTTATTCACTGATATCAAATGTGCATTCATGAGATCAACTGGGAATGATCCGTTGCTTNTTTATCGTTGACTGCGAATTTATTAAACAACGTCACCTGGATAGGGATCATCCGCAGTACTTCTTTTGCTTCGATTCGAAGCGAAATGACTTGCAGCATCTTTACTGTATGTAACAGCTTGATGAAACGCATCCAACTAAAATCACGAAAACAAAATAAGTTTTCAGCATTAATAATAACGCACTTGTTACTCGTCGACATAAAATTTTAAGGATTAGTTAATATATTCATGAATCGTATCAACAAATGTGTCAAGAAGTTGAGTCATTAAACGCTATCAACCGAACTATTTGAATGTCCAGCAAATGACGTATTAATTTTGTTGTGTTTGTTGCTGACCTTTCTCACTTATGAAAACAACTCTTAACGCTTCATTCAAGCTTGTCATGCATTGTTACTGATTCGTTGGTTTATCCAAAAATTATTCATCACCTTCGAGCGTTAATTAATCTGATAGAGTGAATGTGAACTTATAATTCAACTTCAACTTGAGGCAAACTAGAAAACTGATACCGATATGATCGATTATTCTATCTTCCCTTTACAGTATGATCTCAACTTGCAATATTAAATGATGTTCTTTCGTGTGACTAAAATGGCTGCTATTCCTGCGATTTTTTCATCGGAACTTGGATCCAATAAACATCGAGTATTGTCAAAACGTGTATTTATCATCAATAAAGCCTCTCGCAAGGGTGTCATTTCGACAGTCATCAATTTTCGAGTACGCAATCCCAAAACACAAAAATTGCATAACCATTAATTGTACACGCAATTACATCCACCATTTGTCGTTCTAAGTTTGATTTGAAAATATCACTGCGTAGAAAAACAGCTATTATTTGTAACTAATGATTTCTTTTTTCGAGAATGAATAATTCTATCCCCTACGATATGATAAAAAAAGTGTTAGCGATGCGAGTAGAAAATACTGTGTAACGATGACAGGATCAGATGCGGCCAGCTTAGTCGATACAGGATGAAAATTATGAAATTTAAGCAAGCGGAGTGATGAGTTTTTTGATGATTTGCAAAATGATAATCGTGATACCGTATCGCTAATTTCTGGAACTGTTCTTGCGAGGTGCCTTTTGAAGGGATTGAGATTGCAAATCGTAATTGCTGGGAATGCAGCCGATTCGAATTGTAACTGAAATAATCACAAATAGAACCGGAGAATCTTCTTAATGATAAAACAACGATTCTAAAGAGAGAATCGCGGAACATTTTAGATTTACAAAAATTCCACTTCTGCATATATATCGAGAAAAACTTTGAATGGTCCTAACGGCAATTGATAACGAGCAGTTTTTCATAAACAGTGCTGTGGCAAGATGAGTTCGGTTCTTAAGCTAAAACAAATCGAGACTCAAAATGATCGATTATTCCATCTTCCTTTACGGCATGGTCTCAGTTCGCAATTTTACGTAAAACACTGAACAGCTCTGATGGAAATTTTTAAGAAAAAACTGATAAACTCACTTCAACATTAACGATTTTATCGTTTCGCTGATATTTGTCAAAAACAAGTGTGCATTGATAGATGAAATATACGAACAGTGAGAATGTAAGAATTAGCCAAAATGCTTTTACGTACATCCGCCTTGCAACCACTGCCTTAATAAGCAATATTCTCGTTTATTTCATCCAAAATTTGAACCTTCCAGCATATTTTCAATTTGCTAACTTCGACTCTCTTTTGAGTTAACAGAGGAATGGCAAAAATACAGTTTACATAGAACTATAGATCCCTTCTTGTGGATTATAAATTCGATTTTACTTACAAAGAACTGCCCTTCTGAAGCAAATAAATAGGCCTGAACTAATCAGTCGCTCTAATGAGATCTTGTGTTGAAGTAGGTTGGAATTCGACTATCGTAGCTAATTAGGTGAGATATCGGATTAAAATTGAGATGACTGTGGTTCGAGCAACAGTAACATTTTGGTTCCATATGATTTCATCTTCATTTTGAAACATATCTCACAAAAATTCGTATCATCTGCCAACAGAAACTTTTTTGTTTATTTATGTTATGGGTACAGTCATTGAACAAAGGAATGCTCATAAGAACATCTTATAAATGTATTTTAATCGCATAGATCGACATCGCATTTCTTCACTGCTTATCTTGAGAAGCATGGTTCTAAAGGAACACGAAACTCTGCTGAGTGTACGGAAGGCAAAAGTATAAGAGCAAGAACTGGTGTTATCGATAACTGAACTGTCGCCATCTCACTGGTAACCCAATATCTTACCGGTCGAGCCATGATAACTATGAATTATAATAAAAGATTCTCATTAAAGAGGATGATTGGCCCACGCTCATTTACTTGTTTCAGGTGAACTGTTTATAGGAACGAAGAAAGGATCTGTAATCAGTATGGAGAGTTCTATAATTGGATGTAGATCTCGATCCGATTATCCAGACTCTGTTTGCTCACACGTGAATTATTTGAACGAATGACGTAACTCATCATGCTGTTCAACTATTTGGTGAGTTCAGCAGCAAATGTTATGACTATTTTGCCAAAATATTGATATTATTCGATTTTTTCGAAATTTCGAATTGGAATCTAACGGGCAAAATTGAGATGAAGCATCTCCCTGATACTTCAGACGTTTCCATCACCTTATATGTCTCACATAAAACTCTCATTTCAAAACGAAGAAAAATAACTGTTCATTCAAATGACAGTCCCAACACGAGTTTGAAAGCACTTTAACGACTATAGTGAGAATTCAACGACGGAATATGTTTGTTATTATTTTATCTTCAACATCGTGTGTTCTTCAGTTACTAAAACTTTTCTTGGATCGCTAATCAACATCCATTTACACAACGCCCAATTACAGTTACGACTGAAATATGCACTTGGAATAACATAATAAGTTGATAAAAAATTCAAATTCATGCAAAAATCGAATGGCAATAGATCAGATACGGAAACAATTACCATAGGAATGCCGTGAGCAGATGTGGTTTGTGCGAACATCGAGAATTCATTTCGTAATTCACCGTCCGCAGCCGTCTTAACTGTACGTCCCAAGTCCTTAGAAGCATTCTTTAGCACATATCCAAAGACCGACATTGGATTCGCTTCTTTATGACTATTTAGCACCACTCTCTGTGATGGATTGGATGCGAAGCCAATCAAATCCGAATTAAAATTTAAGTTTGGTGGTCCGATAAATGGAACATTTAAATGCGATATCGAATGCGTTATTGCCGGAGAATGCTCATTAGGAATATGCATTCGAGTATTGTCATATGAGTGAGATTTTGGCAATTGCATACACACTTTATTCACGTCATTCATTATTTTTATTCTCGAATTATTTCTCAGTACCAGTCCACTCATGTTCTTGTCGCTGTATACATGCTCACTTTTCATTGAGTAATCGAATACGAATATTAGGTAATAACAGATTGATGGATCGGATATGTGATTGATTGTATGCAGACTGAATGTTAGATAGTGAGATGAATATGTAGGATGAAGAGTACTTGCATTTAAATTGATGAAACAATTAAAATGGATATGATGAAATGTGTATGAAATAAGATTATTTGTGGACGAAATGAAAGTTATATTCCGTCATTTCTGATAGGAAGTTTTAGGGTACGTTGAACTGTTTATTAGAAAAAGAATTTGAAAAGTTCGATGTCAAATAGCCAGAAGTGAACCAAGTTGAGCGTATTTATTAATGATAGTGTCGGATATGAAGTGAGATTTGTAGGGTCGGACGGAATAAGACGACTGATCGAAAAGTCGGTTGGAATCAAAGATATCTGGCGAAGGGAATAACTAATGACATTGGATGTTAGATTGATTGTGGTTGTGTGCAACAAACAACTATTGTTATAATCGAGACCCGCTTAACAACTAGTCGACACCTGCTGAGGCGGAGTTGAACCGTTTCCCGTCTCCATTTTTACCTTTTCATTCATTATTAGTTATTTAAATCAGAAAAGTGCATGAGATTGCGGATTGTTTCCGCTTAATAAAGATCGAATACGGACCAGCTTGATTTCTAGCAAACGGAATGGATGAAGCTTTTAGGAATGACAGCAATGAATGTGTTGAAAACAAGTTCATGTGCATCGAACAAAGCACGACAATTCACCGACATTGATATGGCATTCAAGGGAAAACAGATTTTAGTGCTGAAAATGATAATAAAATAAAGCTTCCAAATAATAACACTTCCAAAATCAGTTTTCACTGCGAATGAGTTTTCAAAATGAGTTTTCAAAACAGATTACCTGCGATTCAATTCATCGGCAGTGTTGAAAAGGCAAAAGCTTGCTTATTACTATTAGCTGATTCAACGAATACTGATTCAGTAACCTCACTCAAAAGCATAAGCGTCATGAAAAGTATAATTGATTGAATGTGCAAAGAATGATCCAAAAACAAGTCTTCTGTAAACATAAATACTTCCAACGAACAACATCACATAGCTTTATTTTATGGCCACGTTCTTCGTTTGAAATTGATCAGTCAAAGAGAAGATCTCACAAGACCAATAATTACGAAAAAAGTATGTTCATCTCCATCTGCTTTTACTTTTCTCAGTTGGATAACGCCACAGTCTCACGTATTTTCAATTTCGTGAAGTGAAATATTCCCAACTGAGAATTATAAATTGTGATTGATTGTGACTCTGAAATCATCCTAAGCACAAATCACTCTATCATCAGTAAGTATCAAAATGCGTCATATTCATTACTGTTGAACACTGTAAATGTTCAGGATACTGATTGTGAGAAAACGTACTGTTTAGGTATGGAAAAAATCCTTCCTTTACACCATCACCTTTTCATGCAAGTTCTCCAAGCATGCTGCTCAGAATACAAGATGCTGGCACTGAGATCAATACTGTCATTTCATCATGCGCACTCTGTTTTATCATATAAGTATTTCATGTTTACGCTTATTGTAATTTTCATTTCATTCGTCTAATTTCAAAAATTTTTTTGATATGTCAGCGTTTTAGTGTCAAACCTTCTTCAATTAAAATTTCAATACATGTATACCAACATTCAGGTCGTATTAATAAGATAAGAAAATTTCGATTGCGATGCTATCGTGCATGTTGCTAATTAATGGTTGACTTGTGGCAGACATGCTGTTTAGAACAGCGGATCTAGTCGCTGTACTGATTTCTTTCAGATAATATTTGTGATGAAACGATTAAGCCTTCTAAAATTAAGATTAGCTTCATTCAATGAGCATTTTTCATTTCTGCAATAACTGAAGAATACGCGCATACGCGTTTCTGGAAAAGCAGGTTTTCGGAAAATATGCTCAAATACTTTTGAAATTCAGATTGCTAATATTCCTTCGTTATATTTGAGGCATTGTAATATTTGAAACTAGTTAAAGATATTCAAGATTCACATGTACCATTTCCAAATTTAAGAGCAATCGATCAAACAGGTCAGATGTTGACTGATCAACGGGAGCGATTGAAGAGTGAAAATGATATCACAATGAACAACGGTACGTGAAAGTCGAAAAGCAGAAAATATTATCAGCTGTTCGTCTGTCTGTGCATGAGATGATATGACCGCTCTTCTATCCCAACAGAAATTGATCATCACAGCGAAATTCGTCGGTGATTTCCAAAATTTCAGTCACACGACAAATTTTCTACAAAACAGATGAAAATGATACGAACAATCGACAGTCAAACCGCAGCTGGTAAACTACAGTTCGAAGTATTGAACGACCCCAAATAACGATTATAAATTTCGAAGTTTGATCACTATCGGATATCGGAATTTTCAAGTGCATAAAGTTTAACCGAGTTAATCTGATCAGTGATTCTGAGACACTTCGACTTATAAAGCTATCTTGGATGTTGAGTGCAAGTGCAGACAAATACTCTTCTGAAATGAAAGATATCCGAAATGAAGGTTTTGTATCGAAGTTTGAAAGCGATAAATGTTTTCTCAAGAGACCAATAAGAACGTGTGCTTAAAAGAAAACACGTGCACAGATGTTATCCAGTTCCTTTTGTTAGAATCTGCGTACACATTCGGATGAAATTTGTGCTGACTGCTTTATCTAACAGTGAGAACTAGCCAAAGATGAAAGTTATTTTTGGGTGATTTATGCATGAAATCTGTGAACGATTTCAGTTTCTATCCATCACACGACGTTTTTGTTTCGTTACCTATGGAAATCCTGTAATTAATGTTAATTTTATATTGAATTTAGCTGAATATTCGTTTGAGTATTCGAATATGAATGACATTTGTGCAAAGACTTTTCGGCACATCACAATATGCCCATCCACTTATATTTGTTGCTTCATTGTGCTTAATTTGATAACTGGATTGCGTCGCACCAAAAGATTGTTGGACGAGGGAGAGAATGTGACTGCATATTCGGAATAAGCATGCAAATTCACTCAAATTTATCTGATCCGTGAGATAAGCTAAAATTCGTTGCACTTTCCTACCAATAAACTCAGACGTGTTCAAATGGTTCGAAAAAAGGAAGAATTGCAATTAAACTTTTCGAGTGGAAAACAACGAAACTGAAACAATGCCTTCCAATGCATCTTACCCCAATAACTTTACGTTGGCATAGTAATCCATTCAAAATAATCATGCACTTGTTAGGGCACGATTAGCTTTGGGTTCGGCTCTATTTTTTGAAATTAACATCAGACATTAATGTTATTCTGAGAAAAGAGGTATTCCTGAGTTTGAGCCTGCTTCCTTAAATCCTCTCAATAGATTCATTATGTCAGGTGGAAATTTTCCGAGATGAAACTTGATATAAAACTTCCTTTTTTTTNTTTTTTTTCAAATGTATGATTGCAGTACTATCACCACGCATTTCTGAGCACTACGTATACCAATTTTGATGAACCGCATTCTCAGATCTTTGTGATAACCTCAAAACTCTTGCATCGGTTCTTACAGAAAACAGCTTCCAGTTTGAAAATCCCATAGATGTTGGGCGAATTTGTTGAGCTACAACTTCATATATAATTGCCGCTTCGACGTGTATGGTTATACTAATACTAATTATCTGTAGCGTGTGTCATATTCAAGCGAGCTCTACCCTCACTATTGGACCAGTTGAACAGTGTCAAAACTTTTTGTATTTTCCGAAAATTATGATCAGCAAAACCAACGAAATATTAATAGATCTGCTTCAGTTCAGCATATTTGCATGCATTTGTTCGAAGAGATTGGGTGATTGATCGAAAGAAACGTATTTTGAAAGTGGACGATTCTTGCCGGATTACTGTCCACGAATGGGAATAATGCGGTCGAAAATCGAAATCTCATTGCCAGTTTCAAACTTTGTCATTTCATATGGGTATGCATCACAAAAGCTGAGATCGCCTATGCAATAAAACGCAACATTAATTTTTAAGCTGCAGTTTTTTTGCTTGATTAAACTCACTGAATCATTATGTGGCCCAAGGAATGAATCCATGAAGAATAGATCAAAACGAAGTCAAACAACATACAAGAGCATGTGCAATAATAATAGCAGCGCTTGAATGACGTCGACGTCGAACTGCAGTGCCGTTCTCTATTCGCAGATAGTCCTTCAACGGCATCATAAAACACTTTCCATCCCGTTACAATATCCATAACACAACCGTTATCGCTTCATAACCATCTCTAAGCCAATTGAACCAAACTAATGCATCCAATTCTATCGCAGCATTCCAAGCAAAATAAAGCTGAAGAACATCGAAGATTAGAATCATGAATGGATAAGATTATCACTCTCGAAAATGAACACATTTTCGGCCTTCTTGAATGTATTGTTCATACGAATACCTTACATCTCTTGCTGCAAACAGCTTGTTGACCAGCTGGATTAGGTATTTCTTCAAAGGCTGAAAATGTAACAAGAAAAATGAATAGTCGGAAAGGTATATGAACCGAATTGAAACTGTATATGAACCAAATTATTTATCATTAACGGACGAATTCGCTTGTACTTAATGATAACAAGCATCCTTAATGTATCTTCAATTTTACTATATTCAAGAGCCTGCGATTGGATAAGAGATACGTTAGGTGAAACTTCAAATCTTGACCGTAACGTTCAAGTATGATAAACACAATATTATTCATGTTCACCGATAATAATGAATAGGCTTTATGTGCTTCGTCTGGTCTACTTTTAAAGCAAAATAATTCATTGTATTTTTGCCAGTTATGGCCTCTACCGAATTTTAATTTTATTAGATATTCAAGGGCACGATTTTTGAAATA